TTTAGAGTAATGCATTTTAATAATAACACCGCGATTTCTTTCCTCAGACGAGCTTTCCATATACTGCCCTATAAAAAAAGTGGTCTGTGTAGGCACGTGTTTCTGCGGAGAGACACGGCTGAGTGTGGAACGGGCGGATTCCGGGTTTGTACGTCTGTGTACCGTGTTGGCACGTTAAATTGGTCTGAATTGGACTGTTTACCCGGACATTTTGGACCGTAAATGAACGGGTTTTGCTGCACATTACTAAACCAAAACTTACGGGTTTTTGGCACGGGTAATTACATATAAAATAACGTAATAAAACGTGCACGGTATTGACACGTGCATTGGATGGCACGTAATATACGTGCCATTCTGTCACGTTTTGGTTCGTGTTTCATGCCTTTATGTGCCACATGACACGTGCCTATCCAGACAACCTCAGTAATATCCAATATCAATGATATCGTCCACGTCCCTGAAATTTTAACGGGACAACATCCGTGTATAACACTGCCGTAAAATCATGATTCGAACCGAAAATTAAGTGCAAACAGACAACTGAATAACCAACGCATATAACCAAATCGAGAATAAATCAAGTTCGAAAAGCTCAAGTTTCAGAATGGTAAGAGGAAATAATGAAATAAAAGAGGCTAATAATCGAAAGAGCCCTAAATTGGATAGATTAGTTTCTTGAAATGTATAAAAGTAGATACAAAAACAACTGATGTAAACTTATCTATTTTTGGGTAGTGCCCATGAAGGGCCAAAGATCATAACGTATATAAATTTGAAATTTTAATCTATATGAAGTGCAAATAAAAATAATTAATTAGTTTACTACTTATATAACAAAGATAAAATATTATATAGTGTAGAATGTCATTAAAAATTAAAAGCCGCAATAGATAAAGAACACCTCTAGTCGTGCTTGAAACCCTAATAGAGCTACGAAGCCCTCGTAAAAGATGCCCATCTCGTCGAGCTTGCTTTTTTGACTGTTTAAGGAAGGTACGTAACAGAACAGATTCCTCCTGATCTGTAGACCTTAAGCAGCTAAATTCAAAAAAGCTAAAGAATGATATAAAATAAAAAAATAAAAAAAATACATATCTTTTATGATTTCATCTTTTTTCGCCTTGATCTTGTTCTGTGCTTCGTCTTTTTGCATTACGTAAGATAGTTCATCTAACAACGAATAATTAATATACGTTAACTTATATTGTCTTACAAATTAATCAAATTTATTCGTATTGAACACCTTATTTATCTTATTTCCTTCTTCGATCAATTGAGTATATTTTTCTACACGTATAAATATAAATTTTAGTGTTAGTATTATTAATGCTGAACGCATAATAAAACATTAATATTATTAAATTATTTTAAACTTATCGTAAAGCATATAAATTTGAAACTATCATATAATATTCAAAAGCCTTCTTTCTTTTCGTCCTTCTTAATACCAATACCATAATTATAATTGTACCCAAGTTCAAAAAGTTGTTTAGAGTTCTTTTTTATTTAATCTATATGAATAAAAGTGCAAATAAAAATAATTAATTGGTTTACTATTTATATAACAAAAATAAAATATTATGTAGTATAGAATGTCTTTAAAAATTAAAAGCCGCAATAGATAAAGAACACCCCTAGTCGTGCTTTGCAAGTCCTAATAGAACTACGAAGCAGAAGCCCTCGTAAAAGATGCCCATCTCGTCGAGCTTGCTTTTTTGACTGTTTAAGGAAAGTGCATAACAGAACAGATTCCTCCTGATCTGTAGACCTTAAGCAGTTAAATTCAAAAAAGCTAAAGAATAAATTAAAATAAAAAAAATACATATCTTCACTCTTTCGTCTTGATCTTGGCATTACGCAAGATAATTCATCTAATAATAAATAACTAATATATGTTAGCCTATATTGCCTTACAAATTAATTAATTTCATCTTATTTTAAATAATGAATAAATATATAAATATTAATGGTATCCTTCGTAGAATTTCATCCTTCTTTTGTGACCACGTAAAATACTTCACCTTATTAATTAATAAATTTTTATCCGTCTTAATTCTTAATTAAATATAACTTCTTAATCAAACCTATTATAGGATGAATATGAATCTCGTGTAATTATACAGCATAAAGCATAAAATAAATTATTTTAAATTAACTTATCGCAACGTATTTCAATTGTCAATTTCGTCCGTGATAAATTGCTGGTTCTTTCGTGAAGTAAAATTCTGCAAAATTCCGAGAATTATAGTTTAAGAATTGCTCTGGTTATAATAGAAACTCGAAAAAATCGAACATTCTCTAACCAAATTATTTCTTATTCTTGGACTATCTCAGATATAATTCAAAATTTTAGCTCAAAACAAACTCGTCTTTTAGGTAAATTACGTTCTACGTCGAGATTTCTAAAGTTATATTTTTGGGCTTGTGTACTTATAAATCTCTACTTTCTGGGAAGTTCCGTGCTATTGTTATATCCTCACTTTCAAGTATACCTTTAGTCGTGCCCTGGAAAGCCCTATATAGATATACGTCCCGTCGCGCGTTGCTTTCAGGAGCGCTAACCTATTTCTTCTCTATAATATGTAACCTTAAACATTTAAATTAAAAAAAAACTTGAAATATAAAATTTTATCGTGTTTTTAAAAGAAAAAAAAATATAGAACGAAAAGTTAAATTATGATGCGATCAAAAACAACGCGTAACTAGCTAAATTAATATCAGGTCAGCCAATTTTGTAGATCCAATAAAAAAAAATCGGTTTCACTAATTTATTAATTTCACACATGTGATCCTATTATGACATATACACGTAAAATTTTCGAAAGAAATTTTCAATCGGCAAATTCGTAAAAAACCACATGAAAATAATATTATTGGACGAGACCAACAATAAAAAAAAATTTATACTAATTTTCTTTGAACCGAACATAGAAAAAATTTGTGAATGCTCAATGTTTTATATTTTAAATTGATATTCTTGTTTAAACTCATTTGATTGGTCGAAGACTCGAAATTTTGCATAAATCAATCGATAAAATTGAAATGTAATACAGTAGTACAGTGGTACATTTAACACCTCTGTCGCTTCTTTATTAATCTTTCAATGAGTGATGTGACTATAATACAGGATTATCTGTTTATCATAATTGGCAATTGTTAATTGTCTACCAATTTTAGTAGCGTTTTTGCGCTTTTTTATAGAGTAATGCATTTTAATAACACCGCGATTTCTTTCCTCAGACGAGCATACAGTATATTGTAGGAATGTGATTCTTGCCTCACTTCTAGTTCGCGTAGAGACACCGAAGTTCGTATATCAGGTTAATTTTAGCCAAATTAACCCTTGTCTGTGGAGTTCAAAGCTGTAATTACCTCCTATATAGTTGTCGGGAGGGCGTTTCTTCCCAAAATTCAAAGTTTTACTCCATTCCTATAATTTTTTACTGATTCTACACTTCAAGACAAAAATGAACTAAATCTTGTTTCTAATTAGGACACCAAAAACATTCCTCAATCCTTCCGTGAGAAGTGAGCTAGTCTGTTTCCCAAAGGTAATGCGTTATAGAGAGACGTCTTTCTTTTATTTAATACCCAATTAAGACGTTTCCAGGACCACTGTTCTCTGCTTAGTGGTGCTGTAAAAGTATTTAATTCGATGTCGTTGGGTGAACTGATGTTTGTCTCAAAAATTCTGTGGCTGCAACAACTGTGAATTCATTTCATTTCTTTTTAATTAATACAGGTTCTTTCAAATTCCAAGGCCAGGTTTCGTTTTGGTTCAGTATCCGTTTACCTAGACGTTTCCAGACTTCTATCCATGCTTTTTTAATTTTATTGGTTCTGATGAAAGCGCCTTGAAAATTGTTATGCCTCGTTTTTCTTGTAGTCTTACATCGATCGTTTTTTTTCCATTTTCGTCTATAGGGCTTCGCTAGTCAAAAGTTTGATCCATGTTACTGCTAATCTTGAATCTATCATATCCTTGACTATTGGAGCATCTAATCCATTTTATTCAAATGGAAACTGGAAACTTGAGTATCTTGGTAATATATGAGATTAACTTTTGATCCACTTCTTCATTATATTACTAAATTCTGAGGTTATACACAAAACATTAGATAATAAGAACGTCTTGGCCAATAACATACGTCCAGTAAATGAAAGATATCTTCCACTTCTAAAGGTAAATATTCAAAAAAGTGCGACTTGTAGGTATTCCCTTGGCGGCACTCATCAAAAAAAAACAAAAATTTAAGTCTAATCTAAGTGTGTCAAAAAAGTAAGTGCACGGGGGTATCAAAAACTTAAAAAAATTTCGCACATCATGTGCTAATAAAAAAAATTTTTTCGTAAAAAAGAAATTTTGCTTGGATTAGGGTTAGAGGGTTATAATTATACCAATATTTTGCAAGGAAAGCTTTTTTGTTAATACGCAGAAGGCAGTTTCATAGACAAATTTCAAGCTATGAATTATTTTGAATTTTTTTGGATTTACACGTATAAATTCTGTGCCAGGTTTATGGTGCAGATTTACAATTAATAAAATCTTAAAGTTTATTGATGTTAGAGCCAGTATTCATATTAAGTCTATATTATAAGGTAAAATCGCTCAAGAAAAACATTTTTTTAAAGCACCAAAGATGGCTTCTTGTATGTATTTTTTGAGAAATTGACGACTACGACAGTCTATTTTAAATTTTCCTGATCGTATTATAGTACACCTAATCTTGAATCTGATCTATAACCAGGCACGTGCAAGATTTTTACGTTACACCTGTCTCGAAGTTTGATTTGCTAGTCTGTTGAGTTAATACGTGTAACAAAAACATTAAAAAAATACTTATAATTCAAAATATTGTATATTAAACCACCTTTCGCGCGTTCATTAAGCTAGTACAATAAAACAACCCATTTTATTACGCGTATCTTACGCCAGAACAATAAAACAACGAAAATTTATATCAAATACTTTCTCATACTATACCTGTTAAATAAAAATGTCATCATCTTCGAATGAAAAAATGTATATTTCGTTACGTGAACAAGCTTTAGGTGAATTCAGAAAAGCTCTTGAAGAGTCCTTGGAAAGATTTAACAAGGAAAAAAATTCGTGCGTGGTCATGGAAATTGACTATGTGCGATCTTTAGTTAATAGTGCAATTAATAATTTAGATTCTCATTTTGCTGAGTATAAAAATTTGCCTGGAATTATTCAAGAATTTCCAATCATGATTGAAGAAGGTAAAAAATGGCGTATATTTGCAAAATTATTGTAAAAACTAATTTATTTAATTGATATAATGCCTTTTAAAATCTTTATAGATGTTGGAACTACTTCGGAACATCCAATAATAATTGATTGTGATGATAAAGTTGGCGTGTCTCAGGCTGAAAACAATCCTAGAAAGAGAAAAAACATTTGGAAAAAAAGTAAAAATGCAAAAAAAGCCAAATCAGGTACTTTAAATTATTATTGGGTTTACTAATTTTTTCCTCCATAGTTCTATTGGACGCTTAGATCCTGTTCCTGATTGGACGAGATTGATTACAAATTTTGATCTGATATCATGACCGAAGAAAACAATAAAACTATAAAACACATTATTAAGGCAATATAATGTAACGAATTTTTTTGCTAAGATAGTTTAATAAGTAAGATGATTTTGAAAAGTATCAATTTTTTTCATAAATATATATTATATCGGATCTTGAAAGTCGTAATCAATTTTATCCAATAGGAGATAACATTTTCATACATCCAATCAGAAGTGTGGGGAGAAATTAGATTTCCTATGTTTATCGGGTTTGCTATGCTAAATTAAAAAGGCTAAATTATTTAATGTATAAGTAGCAAGAAGCCTCCGACAAGAATTACCACCCGTCCCAAGGATCCAAGACTCTTTGTTTAATAAGATGGCAACGAGCCGTCAGTTGTACAAAGAGTCTTGGGAGGCTTTAGAGTTTGTGGGAGACAGAGTTATTACGTCCTGTCTATTAAAGATTGCGGAACAAAAATACATTAAACGGCATACCGCATCCATAATCAGGCTATGTGTAAGGAATATTGCCACCAATAAAATTTTGGCGGCATATTGCCTTACACTTGGAATTGAAAAATTAAATGAAATGACCTCCTTAAAAATAAAGAAGCGTCATGCCGATGCTTTTGAAGCATACTTTGGTTCATATTACCTTGTAAATGGGGAACTGGCAACTTGCATTTATCTAGATAATCTAATGACCCCATTATTGAATTTAATAATTGAAGGAGTCGCTTCAGGAAATAAGAAGCCGATGGATGCCTTTAAAATTGCATCAAATTACTTCGAACTTGAATGGATTCAGGATGGTAATAAACTTACTTAGATGGTTAAATTTGTATTCAAACATGTTTTTTCTCGGAGTTTGTTTGCTTCTTTTGCTTTCCTTTTTTTATGTTTTTTTTTTAGATTTTTATTATTTGCATTGCTAATTAATTATGATCCATTGCAATTTTCATAAATATCATAATTATAATAATATTTTTGAAAAAAATAAAATTATTTTGAGTGTTCTTAAACAGCACGCTTGATATGATTAGTGCACAACAATTATGGCATTATTAATTAGATCATTTTTGAAAACTGATAGTATGGGTGATAGATAATATGACTGAAATATCTTCCTCAATATTATAATTAATTAAAATATGATTACAATTGATGCTTGAGCAAACATATTATTATTAGATACTACCATTTAGCGATTATCGTTTTGCAAATCAATCCAAAAAATAATAAAAACGATGGATCAACGAAAAGATAAAGTGTTACTAATTGAATAAATAAAGATGAATAACGAGTATACTTGGAAAATTTTTTGACGATCTCCGATTAGGAACTTCATGGGAACGTAAATATAAAAAAAGTACACAGTATATTACCAAAAAAAAAAGATACAATGCGAATGTGATTTTATCGTTAACTTAGCATGCAAGAGTTAAGAAATTCACCAATTAAAAATTAATCCGAATATGATTTTTGCTGTTGAAATGTAGCGTAATTGTTATTTAGAATTTACTTTAGGATTTACTTTAGGTAGAATTGCAAAATTGATTCATCAGCTTTATTGTTTTATTAATATGCAACACATTGTATTATTTATTAAAAATAATAGCGATAGCCTATATAGATAAATGGTGAAAAGTAAGTGACAGTGCTCTGCATCAATCATAAGAATCGTCAATTCTCAATCGACACGTTATTTTCTATTCTCAACCGATTGTAGAATAGCTTAGGTGGTTTTAAATGAATTACAGCAGTCGTTTTATTTCTATGAACTCCATTCTTAGTAAACATATAACGCTAATTAATAAAATATTAAAAAAAATTTTACGAATTAATAAAACTTTATAAACAAATTTAAAATAGAAAAGTCCAATGAAATGTTAAATTAGATACGATATTTTCAAAACCTGATTAATCGTAAGATTTAATAAGATCATAAGATACATGTAAAAGGGACATCCAGCCAAAGCACGGAATTGTACAGAATAAATGAAGTAACACTGGGAATTCATACAAAAAGAGAAATTATAGCAAAAGCACAGATCAATTAATATCGATATCGATAGACAATATACATCCTCATAGTGACATAACTATAAAGGTTTATTAAAATGTTTAAATGCAAAAATTGTAATTTATGCTACGAATTCAATCATAACAACACAGTAAAATCGATTGGTCAAATAAACAAATAAACCTAAAGTACATTAAATTAACAATGAAAATATTCACTTATTTAGAATTTTCAAGTTTATTATTAGAGCAAAAAAGGGTGTTCTCAAGCATCAATCGAGATGCGATTTCATAGTGATCTAAATAGTGCACAAGTATTATGACGTAATTTT